ACTAATATTCATTTTTTATTCACAATCTCCTCATCACAGGCAGGCACAGCACTCAATTCAGCATGTGTTCGTGTTTGTGTGTGCTGTCTGCGTCACTCATAGCACGTGCCTATATAGTGCCTATATCTAACATTTTTTCTATCGTTATCGAAGAAGGTGTACAATCGATAAATATCGATACCGTTTTATCGCCCAGGCCTACCCGCAGCTCATTGATAAGGAGGTGGAACTCTCCTTGGATTGGATGATGGATCCAGTATTTCCTCTTCCTTTTTCTCCTTTTAAGAAGAGAGAGGACAACAAAATCATCCTCAACTCCATTTTGTATTGTTTTGCAAATTTATTCGCAACAGATTAATTAATACGCATCGGACTCAGAGTGCAAGGTTTCTAAGAGATTCATTCAAACAGACCACAATATATTTAAGAGTTCACTAACACTAATGCTCAAGCAAAACCCCTTTGGTACTAGTGCATGAACAACATACAAAAGACAAAATCTAAAAACATGTACGTTTGTACCATAACACAACAATATGCTGCTGTCTGAAGAAGGGAGGAAAGTTATGACAAGAAAACAAAGGTGCAAAAAAAATTTTTCCATTATCAAACCAGAAAAAAAAAAAACAGCATTTAAGTTAAAGGGGTCATATGATGCGATTTAAATTTTTCCTTTCTCTTTGAAGTGTTACAAGCTTTTGGTGCATAAAGAAGATCTGTAAAGTTGCAAAGACTAAAGTCTCAAATCCAAAGAGATATTCTTTATAAAAGTTAAGAGTCAACCACGCCTACCTAAAACGGCTCGTTCTAACACGCCCCAACATGTCTGCATCACGGACGCGTTTCAGAAAGGCGGGGCATAGAGGAGAAACAATAATGTACAGTATGTGGAAAATAATGTGGTTTTTTTTACTTTAAAATAAATAAACACATTTCATTACACCAAATACACAAAATAATGTTATTTTTAGCAACATCATATGACCCCTTTAATAGGATTTATTAGGATATTGAATATTAGGATATTTGGCACTGTTACTTTTGTGTGTGTGTGTGTGTGTGTGTATAGAGAATGTTCAATGCTTTGGGGTCAGTTTTTTTAAAGAAATTAATACTTTCATTTTTGCCAGGATTATTATAATCAAAAGTGACTAAGACATTTACAAGGTTAAATGCTGTTCATTTGAACTTTCTATTTATCAAAAAAAAAAAAGAATACAAATTTATTACAATTTCCAAAAAAGTTTCTTGCAACTGGAGTAATGGCTGCTGAAAGCTTTAAAATATACGAAAATAGAAAACAGTTATTTTAAATAGTAATAATATTTCACAACATTAATGTTTTACTGTATTCTGATTATAAAAAAGCAGCATTGGATGAACATGATTTCTGTCCCAGAAATAAAAAGGGATTTAATCAGGGTTTCCACAGCTTTAACCACTTAATTTCCACGATTTTTCTAAGCGTTTGTGATTACTGGATAAGGATATTTAAAGAGCAGGTCATATGGTTTTTTAAAGTGTCCTAATATTGTGTTGGAATCCCCTACAACAGGTTTAAACGCATCTAAGGTCAGAAAACACTGTAATTTTCCCAGAATATACATTTATACATAGAGTAATTTGTCCGTGATTTCGAAACGGTTCATTCGATTCAGTTCTGAGCGAAATGTCTGTAAACCCCTCCCTTCCATAAGCCTACTCTGCTCTGATTGGTCAGCTGGCCAAGCCTGTTGTGATTGGCACAAAGAG